GTGATAGAGGGTGTTAGTGAGCCCATTTCCGTCTATCTGACCCTTTTGCAGACTAATGTGATTCTGCTCACTACTTGTCGTCCATAGCGAGTGAATTTTGACAGGAACAATACCAAGTAATGATTTTGGGTTTGAAGTAAAAAAGTAGTCAATTTCGCGTGATACAGTATAGCACCGACCATATATGAAGGCACCGACTCGCTTTGAATCCTCAGACAATGAAGTCGCTACCGGAACTGTTGGAGCGGTTGGTAGATTGTCGGGGACTGATACGTTTCCGGCGTAGTATAGCCCAGAACATTAAGCACATCTGATGGCGATTTGCAATGAAGTTTCATCAGATGATGGAGCTGAGCAGCAAATGGCGACGAATTGTTGCTGGCTATCGGCTGTGGCTGTAAATAACCAATAAAACCCTAATGAGTAGTAGTATTGAGTAGCGGATAGTCCTGGAAATGTGGTTCAAAAGTGTTGAGTAGCTCCTTAGCAAGCGGTTCAGTAGCAAGTGACCAGCACAATCACACACATGGTCCTAGACTTGAATCTCATATCAATACCCGCCTAATCCGACCGAGTCTTCCATTCCTAAGAGGTCAGTTGATTTGCACCAGATCCGTGAGGATAAAAGCACTCAAAAGATTATTGGCTCGCCACCGCAATTCATTTTTCGGACCTCCTACACTTTAAAACGTCCCTGCGGAGCGGAGTGGTGTTGAGTACAGGGCGCATCCCAGGAACGGAGCAGAACGAACCACATGCGATATACAGACACAGCTGAATAGAGATCAAGGGCGGGGCGCAAATCAAAAATGGGACCAACGCCTATCCCTCAATACTTTGTTATTCCTTTCTCAACTGGTACGCGGTAGGTTAAGATATCGAACCGCTCACCCAGCAGCACCCACCGAACTGACCACTTCTACTACGTTCGCACGCAAGCCTATTGTCGTAAATACGGGATTACGTTGTGCATTATAACTGCTCAACTTCTGGAACTTCGCCTGCTTCTACCATATTTTTGCGTTCTCGTAATGGATGTCACTAAATCATCCGTGAGACACTGACCTGGACATGGTTCGTGCTTGAACCGTACTCAGCCATAGGTACAATCGGTAATACCGTCTCCGAAAAGGTGTCACGACACGTCACAACAGCGATACGAAGAGGAGTGAAACTGAAAAAAGGCATTCTTTCGAGCTCATCAAGGATGTCATGCCCGATCTGTTCACAAAAAGCTTTTTT